ACCTTCTAATGAGTTCTTGGCCTGTCTTTGACTTGGCAAGTGACAAGTGCATTCTAACCTTAGAAATCAACATGTTTTTTTATTTATTAAAATATTTCGAAGCACATAGAGTTCTACTTTTATTTTTATTTTTCTCTTTGAAAAAGATTTAAGTATTTGTTTAGCATTACCATGCTGTGAAGTCTTTTATTCAAGACATAATGTCTACGTAGCATGCTTCGCCAAGAGCTTCTGGTTTTTTTTATATTAATGCTGGGTCTGAAAAAACATATTTTTAATTAAATATTACTTTAGACTACAAGGAAGTAAAACCAGAGATATTATAAGATCTTAGCTCACTGGATAATTATTCTGAATTGATTAAAATTTAACGGTGATGGCCAATTATATCTAGCAGTCATCTAACCAGTGATTTCACTTCGATGTCAAGATCTTTGATTGAAAACGACACGTGTTAACAACTTATTTACTATTTACGAGATCAAATTACTTTGACTTTGTTGGATGGATTTATTTCTTTAACCATCGACGAGTGTGTGTGTGTATATATATATTCACTGTCAGACCCTTGAAGGGGTGAAGTGGAGGAGAAAAACCATCCATGGCGGGGCTAGCTGGACGGGGGGTTGTTTGGCTGCATTTCTTTTAATCAGTCTTAAAACAAAGTAATAGCTTGAAAAATAAAGTGCACGTGCATTTCCCTGATCTCGATGTGGATATATGTATATATATGCCTTCAATATATCCGATTAATAGAAAAATAAATTTAGTTTGAATATTTAAAAATAAATGAGAATATTTAAATAATTATGTGGAGCTCATGGGATTAGCATAGTATTTCTTAATCTCATAAGGTTTTGGAAAGTTGGTTCAAGAGATGAATAATTATATTGTCCCCTACTGAATCCCCAGCTAGCACGAACCGTTGACTTTTCTTTCCTGGCTGGCTGATCAACTCTTGCAATAATAAGTTCTTATCATTGAAACAGTCATTAGCGACCGATCAGTGCATGTCCATTTAAAAATCAAAGGGACGTTGTTAGCATACCATGCGATAGCCTGTTGTTCTAATCCAAGACGACTCACGAATAATGTTTTAGATGGCCGTTAGCGCCGAGGAATCAATGAAGCCTAGGAAATTCTACTGCTTCTCGAGATAATATATAGTGACTTTGATGACAATTTTTAGCTAGGCCATGAAATGTACACATGCTAGTGATTCGTGCGAGTCCAAATCCGTGCCAAGACATTTTCAGTCTCTTCGAGATCCTCCCATTAAATTTTAACGTGTAAAAGAGAGCCGAAAGGCTTCCCAGATTGACTGCGAGGAATCAAGAATTGTCCAATAAGTTGCTGGTTTATATTGCAGTGAAAAATTACATGTAGACTAAGATTTTTCATGATTAATTCTCCCCGTTGTGTCTTTCACGGAGGCTTCGGATGAGATTATAGAGAGAAAATATCGAGCATTCCTTAGAAATTTCAAAGGCTATTGGATTAATGGGACCATTGAACTGGTGTGGATGAATAAGCCAAAAGTCCAAGAGAATCGATGGCCAAGAGAGAAATTTACGTGATTTTGCATGTTTTTTCTTTTAGCCGAAGTCCAAGAATATTAAATGCATTAAAGACGTCACTAAAGAAAACAATAAGGACCCAATCGAGAATTGGTTATAAGTTGGGGGCTTGTACGAAGCTAGCCCTTATCCACCCCGGTGAAGCAAGTGGGATATTCAGTTTGCTAAAGTGGTGGGTCCCTATGTAGTATTCTGGGTTCTTGGGTAGAAACTTAGATAGATACTAAATAGGTGATTTGTGATAGTATTTTGAATTAATTTTTTTCTAACGTAAAAAAATATTTTAATAATAATATCCTTTTAAAAGCAACAAGAAAAATTTGAAATTGAAATTCAGGTGATTCAATAAACTCTTAATTAATTTAATAATATGATTATATATATAAACATATGATAAAAAAACAACGATTAATCAGAAAAAATAAACGTAATTAATGAAAATAAAAAAAATGAGAATAATAACCCTCGTTCGTATTTGAAGCTCACAAGTAGTCAAGGGTGTTGTCCGTCCCTTTACATCCATGGGACCACAATTAATGGGTAAGTGTAAGTTTGTCATCTCTAATGCAAGTGGTTCTTATCATTAATGAGATCGAGCAGACTCTGTCTAGCCAGAAAGGTCGTGCATTAATCTATCCACTAGCCATTTCATCAAGTGGCGAAATTGAACTCCATGTTGATTTCATTGCAGTGATGATATATCTATAAATGGTCACCAAAAGTGTTGAATGGTTAGAGAAAATTTAGTTTTAGTTATCTTCCATTAGAAATCCAATCTTGGCCTCAAGAACTCCAGGTGTTGTTCATGTCTGAAAGGGCAAAAAAAAATGCTTTATGCAATATAAATCTCTGCAGAATTGGAGGGCTAAGCTCTGTTCAAGTTGTAGCGAGTAGTGACTTAACTCATGCATTCATGAGTTGAACTTGTGGTATATTAAACAATCTAGCCTGTCATTTTCCTGCTGTTCAGGACTTTCTGCCATGAACCAAGAATTTAAACCTAGCGAGCTAGTTATGGGACACCCCACTAGCCAGGGATATGATGAACCTTGACGGCCTTGTAACCAAGGAAGAGTTGACTAGTCCCACGTTAGCTGGGTTGGTTCAATGGATTGTCTTGTGAACCCAAAAACTTCATGATTCTTAGCGCTCGCATTGATTGGACGGCAGATATTTAAATAGATTTGCAAATTTAAGGAGCCAAGGGTGACCGGCTCTGAGTGATCAAACAAAGAATGTGGCTTTGTTATCGGCGTTCATGTCATCGGCAGAGCAATCTGTCTTGTCTAATTATTATCATAATAAATGATGCCAAATATTTAATTGACAGCACAACTCACGCAATATTAAAAGAGATATATATCCCATGAAAAAAAAAAAAGGAAAGAGAAGAAGAGGAAATATAATTAAGCGATAGTGTGATATTAGCATTTAACATACTATTCTTCTTAATCAAAATACATCGAATTTTTCAATCATTAAGCAGTGAAACGGAATAATAGTTAGTGGATAGCGGCATATATATATATATATTATAGCGATACGGCAATACAGCAATTTTCTTGAATAAATAAAATCTCTCTTTAAATGAGAAACGTAATGCTTATAGCATCCCATACGTCTAGTTTTGGGACTTTTCAAGCCTTTTCGGATGCCCGGTCACAGTTTGCCATGAACTGGAGTTTCCGACCTCTCTGCTCAAGCCACACGCCTATCTGAAATTATTGATAGCTAATAACTTGTGTTTTTTGTTTGTTAAATCTTAATTCCGTCTGAAATTACTGATATATTTCTTTTCAGTTTAAAAAATAAAATAAGTAGGAATATATTTTATCAATCTCATCCTGTTCTGAAAATTTCACTTGGAATGTTTTGATTCTGTTCCAGCCGAATAATATCTATTATTTCTATATATAATTTTATCATTTAATCCTTGATTTATTAGATATTATCCAACTCAAAATTTGTTGTAATTTATTAGAAATTAGAATTCATAATATATTTTTTATATGATACTACGCTTTTTAAAAAGAAAGCAAAACAACCTACCAGCATGAGGCAAACTCAATCTCCATTATGAAAATATTTAATAAGTTATCAGGTTTTTGTTCTATATAATTTGAGAAATGAGCTAAGGCAGCAGTAAAGTAAAACTAGTATGATGTTTGGAAAAGAAAGGTTAATCCATCTGCACACAAACAAAGCAACCAGGTGACCCTCTAGTCTTCTGATACACCGAAGAAAAAGAAGAGGAAAAAATCTGCAGAAATTTTGGCAGACGGGGCTGATAAAGATGTTCTGCCCTGCCCTGCCATCTCCATTTTTTTCAGAACCCAAACCAAAAGGAAACCATTACTCACCGAGTCACCGGAGAGCTTTTGCCAGCAGATATAGGCTCGCTTATACTGGGCGGAAAGCTTTTGCCGGCAGATATAGGCTCGCTTATATTGGGCCCAATGCCAAATTTGCCCATCTGTTTTTTTCTTTCGGCAAACTAGCCCACTTTCATTTTCTAGTCCGCCAGGAACAGGACAATATCGGCAAAAGTAATTTCTATACCAAGTAATAATTTAAAAAAATGATAAAATCTTAAAACCAAAACCAAACAATGAAAAAAATAATCAAACCAATTAAAAAATTGATTGGTTTAGTTTTATAAACCTGAGATAAAAAAACCAAATCAAATCATAAAAATAAGTTTGAACCGGTTTTTGTTCTAAAATAATTGAACTGGTCGATTTCAATATGGTTTTAATTTTTTTTAAATGATTGGGTTATTTTTTTTATAAAAATCAAACCGAATCGAATATTATCACTCCTAGTAATTGTAATTGCTAATCATGTATTATTATTTTTTTTAATTTGAGATTTCATAAACATTTTAGTTTGGTCGGAGATAGATAGATAAATGGAGTAGGTCCTGGTAAAATTATCTCGATGAAGAAAAATATTAGAGTTGTACATAACAAATTACAGTATTAATTATTGTCATTACCATTATTAACTAACACTGGATAACAAAACTAAAGAATATTTGATTGTACATGTGTAACGAATATCCTACGCATTTGATCCCAATAAAAATAGTTAGCCTAAATATTTATTAGTGAGATGTATTAATCATGTAATTATCACTAAAAGTTTGTAACCTACGGAAGCCAAATGGTTTTTTAATTGCCAACTAATAGCTGAAAGGTTCTGGTCTAGCTGTGAGAGGGGCTTGTTCCTTTCCTCCGCACCTGAGTTCGAACCTTACCATGCACGCATGTCACCCCCGCGGTGCCTTACCTTTTCACTGGGCTTGCAGGATGTTCAGTGGACCGTGAGGATTAGTCGTGGTGCGTGTAAGCTGACCCGGACACCCCACGTAAATAAAAAAAAATAAAAAAAAATAGCTGTACTACTTACTTCCTTAGTGATAAATTTAGAATTAAAGCATAAGATTACGTAACCTCCGAATCTTGATAAATCATAGACAAAAATAGAGAGTGAGACGTCCAGATGATAAAGAAGAGCTTGGAGGAAATGTTTTATCGTATAAATACCCCAGGTATAATTTTCCCACCAAGCATACTAGCACAAGCCCCTACCAAGCGTTTGGTATTTGTACGTATATTTGTTCTTCTCTGATATATCAACACAGGTTCTTGCAATGGTGAACAGAAAGCCTACCATGGGTCGCCAAAGGATTAAGATTGAAAAAATAGCCAAGAAAAGTCATCTGCAAGTCACCTTCTCTAAGCGACGAGCCGGTCTTTTCAAGAAGGCTAGTGAACTTAGCACGCTTTGTGGAGTTGACATAGCAATGATAGTTTTCTCCCCAGCTCAAAAGGCCTTTTCCTTTGGCCACCCCAGTGTTGATTCCATGATGCTTCGGTTTCTCACCGGAAGCCCTCCTCCTCCAAGTTCTGGCCTGCACCAGCTCATTGAAACGCGTCGAGATGCTAATGTCCATGAGCAAAATATGCAGTTAACTCAGACTCTTAATCAACTAGAGGCCGAAAAAAAGAAAGGAGAAGTACTCGACCAGATGAGGAAAGTCGATAGAAGCCAATGTTGCTGGGAAGCTCCTATTGAAGAGCTTGAATTGCACGAGCTTGAACAGTTGAGAGGTGCTTTGGAGGAGCTAAAGAAGACCGTAGCAAAACAAGTGAACAATATTTTGATCCAGTCCACCAGTTCTTTGCCCTTTTTGGCAGTAAATGGTGTTGGAGAAGTTGGAAATCTTGAGACCAAACTGGAGATTGATAATGCTTCGGCTGCTCTTCATTTCAACAATTTTGGTTATGCACAGAAGATTTGTTGAGCCATATTCATATCCCTCAAGGGCGGCGCCTGAGCCTTGAAGATCTCTTATTTCCCCTTAATTCTACCATTGACTAATGTCTCGTTAGCAATTCTGTGTACAACCACCTCTGCGGATTTACACATTGCAACCACTTGATTATTTTAGAAACCGCGTTTGCTATTCCTGGTTTATATTTATCATTGGAAAATGACCTTCTAGTGTTGAGAGTTCTTGAGTGATTAATGTAACTTGGAAATCAGGAGATTATCATATATGGCCAGTTTAATTTCAAGATCAAGAAGATTTATGAATATAATTATAGCTTAGTAGGTGTAGTTGAACCCTTGACGAATCTGAACCTGCATGATGCAAAGGGGTTGAAAAGTAAAAGGAAGATACTGCTGTGGTCTTTGAAAATAAAGGCAAATCCATCTTTGTACATGAAAAAAAGAAACAACAAACAAGAAGAGCCTGTAAAAGGACTGTGAAAGGTGAACTTGAAACTTCCAAGATGTCCCATACACTGAAAAACAGCTGAATTGTCCCCACTTTAGAACACCAGATAACATACGCTGAAGATTTTTGAAGGATCATTGGAGCTTCAGCTAGTAAAGTCGGTCTCTGTTGTCCTCCCACCATCTCCACCTGTAAAGAAGGAAACCATAAGCATGACTTGGTGTTTTGCTTCATGATAGCGGTTGACTTTGTAAAAAACGGCCACGCACTACTAAACAGGGCCCTAGCAGAGGGATCTTCACTAGCCATCTTACCCTGGGCTTAACGGGGGCCTAATTGTAGCTTGAGAAAAAGAATGAAGTACAGCTGGACTTTTGCAAAATGAAAATTTGGTGCATCATCAAAAAAAAAAAAAAAAGAAAATTTGGTGAATGAAAATAGAAATTTCAATGTAAACTTTTGGTGATTAAATCAAACGCTCAAGTTTATCATTTCTACTAAGTTTTTTTATTTTATTCACAAAGAGATTTTTCTATTTTATTTTTTTCCCTTCAGTATATAATATTTAATTTTTGAAACTTCAACCTTGATAAGAGGGTGTTGAACGGGGTTTGCCAAAATCTCCATGATTTTCTGAGAAATCTCAAACCCTTGATCAGAATCTCATTACATGAATATTACCTTTAAATAAAACAAAAAATCCAAGGCATGGGTTAGTGAATATACACACACCTGATGGTTTTTTTTAATAAAAGAAATCCAAATCTTAATGATCACCAATAATTTATTTTATTATTATTATTATAAATAAAGGAGTTCTATCCGCGCCGTGTAGCCATTCAATGAACCTCCTAATAATAATTAAAAAAAATGGTTTGTTGTTTTCTTACCAGTAATAATCCCATCTGGGTCGGACTTTGGTCATCCGGTTTTCCCCGTACGGGTAAGCAGTCTCAGCCCTTCTTGTATTTTGGAAAGCACAGCATCCTATCGAGTAAATCCCAATCAGAAACACCAGCATCACAACGTTAAGAACTGAAAGCTTGTGCCAGCCCCTTCTAACATCTTCGAGAACTCCAGCTTTGCATGAATCACACTCATAGCACAGTAAAGTTGGGGCGTTATTCCACCTGTAGCAATCTGGGTCTTGGGCTACCGCTGTTGCCATGTTGTAGTTACATGAAGTTGGTGGCTTGCAACATCCAGACTGCACCAAAAATCATAAATATAATCAGTAAAAACTAGCCATAAGGCCAGAGTTCAAGAGAGAGCACGATTGATTAATTATACTGTACCTGTACGGGAGACATGTCTTTCTCAAGATAATCAAGAGGAGTCCAAGAGGCAAGTTTAGCACAGGTCTTGGAACCCAGTATGCAACTCCTAATGGTTCTCCAGTAATCAGGATCTTTAATTTTATTCCTCAACCATGGAGAATAATCTTCAATCCTATACTCCTTATAAACCCTACCAGGCACCTCCACACCACCACCTTGGCTAGTGACAACAAGGCCAAATATGGTCAAACCCACTAAGGCTGCAATGAGGAATAGCATGACTACCAAGTAAACCCAGAGTGCCCATGCTACACGGAAGCATGCACCGATGAAGCCAGCTAGTGAGATTATAAGGACAACGAAACCTACGACAAGAAGTGGGGTTTGAAGGAAACTTTCACAGGTTGTCCTACTCCGTGCCATCCATAACCCTCCACCAATTATTGGTATAGATGCCAAGAGAGTGAAAAGATTCAAGAAACCAATTACTGTGTTGCTAAACCTATACATCTCTATCTTCGGCTTCAAATCTCTATACGTTAGACCACAGTACTAAACCCAAACATCCGTTACTCTCTCCCTCTTTTGCTCTGTTTCTACTAGTATTCTCCCTCTCTCTTTATTGTGATGCTTCTTTTCTTGTTATATGGTGTCCTCTTCAGCTTTATTTTTTTTTTTCACTTTTTAATGGTGGCGTTGCTTTTCTTTAATTTATGTTCCTGCTGCAAGATTCAAGAATTCAAAATGCTTGTAAACTCTGCTCTATCTGCTTTTCTTGTATTAATGTATTCAAAAAATCTTTATCTGATGTATGTAGAATGACTTAATTATACCTCTTTTAGTCGGCAAGTAAACTTTGTTAAGCATTTAGATCGACTAATCTGCCCCGCAAGCACTTTGTGTTGGGATTCCTGATCTAAGTATTAAACTGGTTCCAAACAGCATCTTATTAAATTTTTAAAATTAATTTTTTATATTTTTATAAAGTTAATGTTAAAAATAATTTTTAAAAAATAAAAAATATATATTATTTTAATATATTTTCAAATAAAATATACTATAAAAAAATAATTTTTATCAGGAATATCAAAATAGGGCTGCTGATGACACGTAATTTTCAAAACATACGAAATTATTTTTCAACCAGTGGAAAACATCTCCCCCTTTTTTCTTCCTTGATAAAAATGCATGGTTGCTCTCCATTACTTTTACATGTACCAATGAGATGGAAAGTTCGTTCACGGTAAGAAATGACTCGAGTCTCTTTTATGTTACCAAGTATTCACTGAAAATATGGTAATGGCATCAATCCATAACGTAATTGACCAAGGCAAGCAAAGAATAGAAGGTATTTAGGTAATTACAAGCTTGTAGTACAGTGAGTTGCTTTTAGGGCATGGAGCCCTTCTTTAGCTCTCTTTTGAAGTCATGATCAGAACCAGAAGTATGTACGGGTGGTGGATGAAAGAATATATTGAAGCTGCTTCCTTATCTCCAAAAATCTTTTGTTTTAGTGCCTTGTTTGATTCTGTTTACGGCTCCACTAGACAATCTCATTTCTTAATGGCAAAGAATTTCCACCATGTTTCTTATCCATTGCTCAGCAATGACAAAAAATAACTAGGAAATGGTTGCATCAAAAGACCTGAAAACTTTTAGTGTTCATATTTTATTCTTAGCTGCATTGAGAGAAAGCAGAGGAAAGATAAATGAGGCTTTTCTGTCAATTCTCCTTTTAGTTTGTTTAATCAAATTGCCTCACTGCACCTTTAGAATTATCATACACAGCACAAACGTGTACTGATGCATATGCAGAGGGCAATTTGACCTTATTGCAATGCAAATACAAATGATGATTTGGACAGAGAAAATAAGAACACTCTATAATTTGCTAGTAACCTAGAGTCGAGGAAAGTCCGAAGACTAAAGTGCTGGCATGGGTTCATTTTTCAGAAATTGCCTAAATAGCAACAAAGCAAGTCGAGGCCGAGTCAAAGGCACTTCATGCCCTGCTCCCCTTACTGTCACATAGGTCAAGCCCTTGTAAACTTGGCTCCAGCCACCAACCTAAACAAACAATCCATGAAAAAGAACCATAGATACCACCAGAAAATTTTTAGATCTTACAGAATATATGAAATTTATATGTACAAAAACCATGACTTTATATTGCATATGCATATGGCTAACCTGTTGATGGTCATCATACCAAGCATACCAGCTTGTGTTGGTCTCAAGCTGTAGAGCATTAATGGAGTATCTGGTCGCAGTAAGTGGCAAAATTGCATCTGCGTCACCACTGTCGGTGGAACAAATATCAATTTGAGAAATATGGGCTCTTTTCTTTTTTACTAATTATGACAAGCCTGAATGCAAATTTTCAAAATGAACGACTTAAGATTTTCTTTTTTTAACATGCATGATCGTACCTGAAAACCCATATTCTAATACCAGCTGCTATAAGTTCTTTGACGATTGGCAACATGGATTTAGGAGAATCAATCCAATTGCTCCTAACAATAGAACTGCAAGTGACCCAAGGATGAGGAACCCTAGTGATGTTGGCGTGAAGAGCCTTTTGCACCTCTGGACGGTTCATGTATCTTTTTGTGTACATCACCAAACACTCGTCATTTCCTCTGAATTTCCATGGCTAAATCCCAACAAACAAAAGCCAGCAACTCATTAGACAAACAAATTCACACGTTGCACCCATAATTGGAAAATGTGAAAAGGGATTTTTTGAGTGATCCAAGAATATACCAGTGAATGCTTTAGATTGTGTCTAAGAGTTCTGATTACATTGCAAGGAGGGCTGTAAATGCTATAAGGATTGATATCTCCAAACTCTGAATATGCCCTCTCTAAAGCACCGTAACATTCATTCCGAGGGAACAAGAACGAATTATTTGGGCAGAACTTCTTTAAATCTTCATAAGTGGAATCGGATATCAATCCATGGTTCCACCAGAACTCGTGTGTGCCAGTGTTATCATGATAATCATCCAAGAGCGGATTGCCTAACTGCAAAATAAAAAACTAAGATTGCATGTCAAGATATTCTTGTACTAATTTTTTAATGCTGTTAAATGGAACCGATTGACATACCAAGAAACCTATAAAATTAATGACAGGATTCTTGACCCCCTTATTTCTCCGGGCTATAATCCGTGACAGCTCAGGAATGTAATGGCCTGCAAGTGGATTAACAAAATATTAATTAATGCAAGCAAATTAGTCAAACAGTAGGTGGTGATGAGCAATTAATATTTAACCTGCATAGCTTTCTCCAGCAATGTAAAAGGGCCTGTGCTTGTATCGAGGGAACCTCTCAAGCCAGTTAATCAGAAATGTGTAGGCATCTTTGGCTGCATTTTCATATTTCAGCAATAATAATCTAGTTAGGATAGGCGAACAAGCTTTTTGACAAATTATAACAGAATTATATATTTACTTGTACAGATACCTGTCCTCCCGTCACCAACCGTGTATACATCTGATGAAGTGTTTGAATAAGAAAATCCCACACCAGCAGGTGAATCAAGAAACAGCAAATTTGCCACTGCGACAGCCAAAACTCTGTAATTTTATCTATTTGTTTTTTTTTTTTTTTTGTAGCAACATCATGCTGATCAAAATATCACAGACACAGTACTTGCTCCAATATACATGAAACTATATGCAATTTAATACAGACGCCACCATTATT